CCCCCCCCCCCCCCCCAACCAAAGGATCAATCAATCAATCAATCAATCAATCAATCAATCAATCAATCAATCAATTGATATAAAGCTCTAAAACCGAAAATGCGATAATGATCAATTTTTTTGATTGGTTGGTTGTGCGGGGATCGCCCCCTCCCCCTGCGTGCACTCACATGTCTGAGAGGGTGTGTAGAGTGGTTTTTATGACTGTGTCAGATTAGTTTCTCAGACTTACTGCCGCTCTTGTCAGGGGCTTAGACCGGCAGTGTGCTAGGATTGCCAGGTTGGTGTGAGGAAAGTCGACCACTTTTCTCAGGGGTATTGCTAACTCTGGCGATGTGGTGAGTCCTTATCCATCGGTCAAATGCATCCTGGGAAGACTGTTGGGGTTCAACCTCCTGATGAGTCGGTGAAAGTCCGATGAAACCTTCTGCCACAGTCATGCATTTTTATAGCGAATATGACGACACACGCACTCGTGATGGGGGGTTGGGGCCCAGCCGTTCAGCGGGCAGCTTGCCCCCCAACTATTTTTTTTTTTTTTTTTTAAATATACATGTGAGAAGAACAGCACCTCCCCATAAGGTTAAAAAAAAAAAAAGAAAATCAAAATGTCCGGCATTAGACCGAATGCTGGGATGGAGGGGCCGAGCATTCGGCCATTCGGGCCAGTCTTGTTCGGCCCGGCCCAAACTCCGGTCACCCTGCATGCCGTTTTTTTTTTTTTTTTTCCCAAATTGATTTGATGGATTGTTGCTGTAGGATAAACAATGAGAGAGACGAAAAAAGGAGCACCAACTGGCCTAGCTCGGGTAGTACACCTGTTACATGCTGCGCCTGAAACGAGGGCCATTTTCAGGCCCTGTGTTGTTTTCAGCCTAAAAAGCCTGAAAACAAGGGCCTACAGGCCCTGTGTCGTTTTCAGCCTAAAAGCCTGAAAACAAGGGCCTACAGGTCCTGTGTCGTTTCAGCCTGAAAGCCTGAAAACAACGGCCTACGGGCCCTGTGTCGTTTCAGCCTAAAACAGGGCCCTCCAGGCCCTGAGTCTTTTCAGCCTGAAATGGAGGGCCATTTTCAGGCCCTCATAAGATCGGCCTGCCCTGAAACTTAGGCACCAGACCAGGGTTTTAGCACAGGCCATTTTGGGGCTGTTTTCAAGACAACCTTTGTTTGAGCTTCAACGCCAGGGTCTGGCACGTTTTGGCATTGGCAAGAGCAGCCTCCTGGACGGGCCAGCACTATATAAGACTGGCCCGCCCTGCAGGCTGCAGGTAGTTCATAGGGACTTCCCAGGCACTTCACGGGCAGTTCAGGAGGCAGGAGGTAGTGTTCAGGATTCGGCAGCAGCACTCTGGAGGAGCGCTGCAGTAGTAGTAGTAGCGTTAGCAGTAGTCTTCAACGCTGGGCGCTATTAGGAGCTAGAGTAGCACTGGAGATAGATAGAGATTGGGCAGAGGCCAGGGAGACTTACCTGCAGCGCCATAGCTCCAGCTTGTCGTGGAGGTACCTGCAGCACAGCGCCATCTTCACAGGTTAGTACCTGGCACATGTGTGTGTGTGTGTGTGTGTGTGTGTGTGTGTGTGTGTGTGTGTGTGTG